GGGACATGCTGGAGGTAATTAGTCCGTCCTTGGGGCTCTGTGAGGGGGCAGAGAGAGGTGATTTCCCCCTGGTCTCTCCTGGAGGTGTGAAATAAACAGAGTGCTACATTTTGTAAATAGTGCAATATCTCCAGGGCGCATAACTGCACTTTACAAGCCAGAAATAATGTTTAAATGGTCGGGGAAAGTATTTTTAAATGTCTGGAAGAGAGTTTTAGACAGTCATTTTGCACGAAATCATTTAACATAGACGCTCTCCTGAAAATGCACAGAATATGTGCTTTTTCAGGAGACCGTCAATGTTAAATGATTTCGTGCAAAATGACTGGCTAAAACCTCGGAATAAGTGTTTGAAAAGCGGGGAAAAGTTGTTTAAAATAGTCTGATACCTCCAGGGCGCATCACCAAAAATGTACAAGCCAGGGAAGATGCCTGAATCCCGGATACTTTAGGTCTGTCACTTAGGGTGACCGCACCACTCCGACGCTCCCGAGAGTGGACGTCCATTGTTTGTAAGGCACCTAAGAGGGAGAAGGGGAAAAATCGGCCCGAAGCGCCAATAGTCTGGCCCCTTCTCCCGTTGGCACTCTGTCATTTTTTTGACAATTTTTCAAAACTTCATTTTTGATTATTTTAAGTTATAATTAAGCGTTTTCTTCACTTTTTTTTGCTTTCCACGGGTGGGGGCGCCTGGCAGGCCGCCTATGAGCACCCAAATTCGGCCTGGATCATCCAGGATTTGTGGGCTAAGCTCCATAAACTGACTAAATCACCCAGAGAGGTCACCTTTCTAGCCCAAATATATATAATACAAATACATTTAAATAGTAAAAGGTGCACTTGTGCTCTGCATTACCCGGAATTTTATTTTCATAGCCCCATGATAGTGATTAAAAATCATTTTCATGGGAAAAAGTGTTAAAACGCCTGATTAAATTATATGCAGGACCCCAGTGAGCTCCAGACTATGTGCATTGTGTTGGGGAACCATATAAATGATAGAATAAATGCATTTAAATGCAAAAATAATGATTTTAAATCATTTTAGGGGGACAATTGTGGAGAGGAGCCTGAAAATGACTGCAGCAGGCCGCCTATGAGCACCCAAATTCGGCCTTCTTGACGCACCACCACCCCTTCTGTGGAGGGTATTCTCGTGCCCCTGGTGACTCTACAAGGGGGGTGGTTTTTATGGTGCTTCGATGTCCGCCCATCAGCATCCATATTCGGCCTTCTTCACGGCATCACCCCCCCTTCTGTGGAGGGTATTCTCGTGCCCCTGGTGACTCTACAAGGGGGGTGGTTTTTATGGTGATTCGATGTCCGCCTATGAGCACCCAAATTCGGCCTGGATCATCCAGGATTTGTGGGCTAAGCTCCATAAACTGACTAAATCACCCAGAGAGGTCACCTTTCTAGCCCGCTCACAGAGCCCCCAAGGACAGACTATAGACCTCCAGCAGCAGTCCCCAACAGTGGGACTTCCATAACCTTGCACTCACTTCACTTGTCTCACACACACCCAGGGGGGTGAAAGAGGACACATTGGAGCACACATTGACCCAGCAGTAAGTGCTTGAAACGTGGCTAAAGGTGTGTCAAACAGTAGGGTAACATGTTTCAAATGACAGCACACTGCTGCTTGTTGGCAGGCTGACTCAGTTCACTTGTCTCACACACACCCAGGGGGGGAAAGATAACACTTGTACCCAGGAATAAGTGTTTGAAAGGTGGGGAAAAGTTGTTTGAAATAGTATAATATCTCCAGGGCGCATAACTGCACTTTACAAGCCAGAAATAATGTTTAAATGGTCTGGGAAAGTATTTTTAAATGTCTGGAAGAGAGTTTTAGACAGTCATTTTGCACGAAATCATTTAACATAGACGCTCTCCTGAAAATGCACAGAATATGTGCTTTTTCAGGAGACTGTCAATGTTAAATGATATCTCGCAAAATGACTGACTAAAACCCCGGAATAAGTGTTTGAAAGGCGGGGAAAAGTTGTTTAAAATAGGCTGATACCTCCAGGACGCATAACATGGGTAAAAAGTGTGTTAAAAGGTCGGGGAACATGTTTGAAATGACAGCACACTGCTGCTTGTTGGCAGGCTGACTCACTTCACTTGTCTCACACACACCCAGGGGGGGAGAAAGAGGACACATTGGAGCACACAATGACCCAGGAAAGAGTCTTCAAAACACAGGTAAAAGTGTGTTAAACAGTGGGGTAACATGTTTCAAATGACAGCACACTGCTGCTTGTTGGCAGGCTGACTCACTTCACTTGTCTCACACACACCCAGGGGGGAGAAAGAGGGCACATTTGAGCACACATTGACCCAGGAAAGAGTCTTCAAAACACAGGTAAAAGTGTGTTAAACAGTGGGGTAACATGTTTCAAATGACAGCACACTGCTGCTTGTTGGCAGGCTGACTCACTTCACTTGTCTCACACACACCCAGGGGGGAGAAAGAGGGCACATTTGAGCACACATTGACCCAGGAAAGAGTCTTCAAAACACAGGTAAAAGTGTGTTAAACAGTGGGGTAACATGTTTGAAATGACAGCACACTGCTGCTTGTTGGCAGGCTGACTCACTTCACTTGTCTCACACACACCCAGGGGGAAGAAATATAACACTTGTACCCAGGAATAAGTGTTTGAAAGGAGGGGAAAAGTTGTTTGAAATAGTATAATATCTCCAGGGCGCATAACTGCACTTTTCAAGCCAGGGAAGGGGCCAGAATCCTGGGTATACATTTTGTAAATAGTGCAATACCTCCAAGGCGCATAACTGCACTTTACAAGCCAGGGAAGAGGCCTGAATCCTGGGGTAAACATTGTTTAATTGTTTAAGTGTTTTTAAATGTATGGAACAGTGTTTTGTCTCTTTCAAAACTCTCCCGTCATTGGCCGGATACATGGGGACGATTTTATATTCACTATGACCGTTACTATTCCAGTGAGACGAAGTACGTCCGGTGACGGGAGTGATCCCATGTTAATTTTGTCCAAAAACCAGAGCATTCCCTTATCAAAGCTAATGCCTCCATCCTCTGTTCCCCCGATGGACTAATAATATCGTTCCCAGATGGCACTCGTCTCAATTGTTCATTATTCAACATAGAGTCAGGTTCTCAAATGATGTTGGCCCAATCCACTGAAGCAGAAGCAATTCAGTATGCCACTATATTCTGGGGGTTGCTCGACCGGCCCCAAGATAATACACCAGGACTGTTTTCCATTTTTCAACAATGGAAGCCGTGGATTAACCTCCTCAGGCCTTATGGTTCCCCTCCAGATCCTCCCCATCTGACGCTAAATTATGACAGACAAGACGACCAAAGTTATGACTATGCGTATGACCAAGAGGTGTCTATGTCCGTTTGGAAAGTAACCACAACCAATTTATTTGTGGGAGAAGCGGGGGTGGCTGCGTCTGTTGACCTCACTGATGAACAACTACTTTGGTACCGTATGACAGCTGAAGCTACACCACACATTTCATTAGCTATCAGAAAGGGCTATGAAGCTAAAGAACTTGGTCCCATGGTAAAAACACTGCTAGAAGTTAAAGATTGGGAACCAACTCAGATAGCAGCACTCACATACTCTCCCTCACACAACGCTTATGCTCTAAAAATCTGCACTCAAGAATGCCTCTCAATGGAGAGACACGAAGTGGATAGGCATCATGGTAGGGAGAAAACTGACCATGCATTCACTGAGGATATGTTGCGTGACCTCCCGCCTGACCTGTGGTCAGCTGACTCTCATGACGTAGGTTTCTGCTCAAAGGCTGCATCAATAACATTTGAGGTGAGCAGCTCTATACCTATAAAACTATCACAGTACCCTGTTAAACCACAGGCCAAAGGGGGTATTAGCAAGACAATTGAGGAAATAAAGAAAGCGGGAGTGTTGGAACCCTCACAAAGCAAGTGGAATACTCCAATACTCCCGGTACCAAAACCTAGCGGGGAGTACAGAATGGCTCATGATTTGAGGTCCATTAATGCTATCACGACTACAGCTCTGATACCAGTTCCTAACCCATACACAGCTATCTGTAATATCTCACCTGAACATACATGGTTCACCTGTATTAACCTGGCCAACGCTTTCTTCTGCATACCTCTAGCAGAGGATATGAGACCTATTTTTTCATTTACAATGGGCGGGGAAAAACTGCAGTACACAAGACTACCACAAGGTTTCAGTCTGTCTCCAGGAATATTTAACAAAATACTCAGGGAACAGCTAGACGACGTTTCATTGCCAGAGGGGGTGGTAGTGATACAGTATGTAGATGATCTTCTCATTGCAGCACCCTCCGCAGCCTCTTGTTTAGAGGCCACCAGGAACCTACTGGTTCGCCTCCACGCAAAAGGGTTCAAAGTCTCTAAGAAAAAGCTACAATGCACCCGTAAAGAGTTGACATTTTTGGGCAGAGTAATCTCTCCAGCGGGTACGGGCATGTCAGCAGCTCATTAGGAGCACATTTTACATCACCCCAAACCCAAGACAGTCAAAGACATGCTATCTTTTCTGGGTCTCACAGGCTACAGCAGACACTACATCCCAGAGTATAACCCAAGAACAGGTGAACTCAGAACACTGATCAATGAGAAAGGCATGCGCAATCTCACTGCCACACTGAACTCTGCAGAAGCTGCGTTCATTTCTCTCAAACAATCCATGTCTCAGGTCACCTCTCTCGCCGCTGCATCCTATGCATTGCCATTTTTCCTTGATATTTCTGAATGTGGAAACACAGTAAATGGTATTCTATTTCAGAAAAAGGGGGGATGTAGAACAATACTGATGTCCATTAGTATCACACTGGACAGAGTGGAAAACAGAGAACCTCCATGCACAAGACATGCAGCAGGTACAGCACGTATCTTAAACAAGATTTCACACATTGTGATGAGCCACCCTTTGACAGTACTGACAACACATAGCATTGTTTCTTTTGTGAACTCAAGTGCATTCACAATGACTTCCACAAGACAGACCAGGTTAGAGAAAACTCTGACACAAGCACACATCACCTACACACATGTGGGAGTTAACAGCGCAGACACCATTGTTAACGGAGAACCCCATAGGTGTGAGGAAAGAGTCATCCAGGATGTGAAGCTAAGAATAGATCTCAGAGACGAGCCTATGCCACATGCAGAGAACCTGTTCACAGACGGCTGTTGTTTCAGACACCCCACCAACGGGCTCCAAGCGGCCTACGCAGTGGTGGGTCAAAAAGCTGAGGGAGGTTTTGAGGAAAGAGCGGCAGAAAAAGTAACAGGGAAAGTCTCAGCACAGTTGGCAGAAGTAATGGGAGTCATTGCAGCATTGGAACTATCAAAAGAAAAAGATGTAAACATCTATACTGACTCAGCATATGTCCATGGTGTCATACATGTGGAAATGCGCCAGTGGATGAGAGCAGGATTTGTAACATCCACCAATACCCCCATCAAACACGAGAAAGAGATCAAAAGGCTTGCAGAAGCAGTAATGTTACCCAACAAGCTAGCTTTACTCAAGTGCAAAGGTCACAGCACGGCAGATAACTACTTGACTTGGGGTAACAATGCAGCAGACAAAGCAGCTAAAGCCAAAGCAGGGTATACACCCCGGTTTCAAATGCTTGTTAAAAAATCTGCTGACTTACTGCCCGCAGTAACAGATGATACTCTTAAAGAAGCTCAAGCAGCAGGGTCACCTCAAGATAAGACAGTATGGTTAAACAGAGGAGCTACCAACAAAGATGGGATATGGTACTCCCCAGATGGGAGACCAGTGATACCCCCAGGATGGGTAAGATCAATGCTTAAAGAAGCACACGGCCCAACACATTGCGGTAAAACTCAGATGAGCAGACACCTGACTCACTGGTGGCACCCTTACCTACCTGACATGATAGCTAATCACCTGGAAGAATGTGTAATTTGCTTAACCCACAACATCAGAGCTACTGTAAAACCACACCAGGGAAAGTTCCCTTTACCTAAGATGGCAGGAGAAGAAATCATCATTGACTACACTGACATGATTGATAAAGTAAGAGGGTTCAGGTATTTACTAGTTGTGGTAGATGCATACACAGGTTGGCCAGAAGCTATGCCATGCAAGAGAGAGGATGCAGACTCAGTGATCAAATTCCTAGTCACGCATTATATTCCATTACATGGGTTTCCTAGGAAAGTGAGGTCAGACAATGGCAGCCATTTCAAGAACCATGACCTAAGCACAGTAGAACAGTCCTTAGGACTAAGACACAGTTTTGGAGCAGTCTACCATCCACAATCGCAGGGAAAGGTAGAAAGAATGAACCAGAACATCAAACAGAAACTCAGCAAAGCATGTGAGGAGACAGATATGAACTGGCTAGATGCCTTGCCTCTGGCCCTCATGTCAATCAGAAGCTCCATTAACAAAGGGACAGGTTTCTCCCCATTTGAGCTGACACATGGCCACCAATTCCCGGGCCCAGGAGCCTTGAGCGTAGGAAAGGAAGTAGAAGAGATGAGCTCAAAACCATATTACCGGCAACTTAAGGGCCTGGTATCAGACTTCTCCACATAGGTTGCTGATGCCAAAGGGGGACCCGAAAAACACGAAGCCAACACAGCAGATTACGTCTGGTTGAAGGCCATCAGGCCTAAGTGGCTCAACCCCAGGTTTTCCGGCCCCTACAGAGTGACTCAAAGGACCTCCCATGCCGTCCGCCTAGATGGAAAGGGAGACAACTGGTACCACTGGAGCCAGTGTGCGGTCGGGAAACCACCTGCGAGGACCCTAGACGACATCAGGACAGATCTGGCCCTCGTCAAGGCAGTCGACCCAGGAGGCGCCATCAGCGGACCAGAGGACGAGGATCGGGAGGACATCTCTCCAGCAGTCGAACCGGAAGCCGCCATCAGCGGGCCGGAGAAGGAGGATCAGGACATCTCTCCAGCAGTCGAACCGGAAGCCGCCATCAGCGGGTCGGAGGAGGAGGATCAGGACATCTCTCCAGCAGTCGAACCGGAAGCCGCCATCAGCGGGCCGGGGGAGGACAATCCGGCCACATCTCTCTAAAAAGCAGCCCAGAAGCCGCCGTCAGCGGGCTGGGGGGACAAAGACACGGCAAAACCAAGACGGCATAGGGAACTCCACTTCCCGCTGAAAAAAGGTTGAGAAAGCCGGTGTGGAACTTTGTTTAATAATCCATTTTTTAAGGAACTTTGTTTAACCTGTTACGCACCTTCCGCCCGGTACCGGGCGGATAAACGCGTCATTTGCAGGAAACAACGTCTAAGGAATCTTAATATTGAATAAAACTATGAATGTGTTATATCCATGTAACGGGAAGAAACTCAGCTAACTGATCTTTTTAATTTTTTTTTTCAAAAAAAACCCACAATGCTAGCACTCAGCCTCTGAATTAGCCACGAGCGAAAACATGGAACGTAATGCGGCACTTAAACTCACTCAGAATTCCCTTATTACTTATCCTAGATGCACAACCAAACACTCTTTTTTGGTGTCCTGGAGACACTGAATCTAACGGTGCCCTCCTCAACACTCAGTGATAAACATTCGCGACGCTATAAACGAAAGCGTACATCATCACATGTGGAGCTAAGTAGCTAAACACGTAAACATGGCTTACCTTGGTCAAAAGTGGTCTTCAATGGCATTAAAACGATAAAAAAAACGATGCTGCAGTTAATCCATAGGTTCATCCTATGTGTCTGTGCCTTCTTTGAAATTATTTCTGATAATCCATAAGCAATACAACTGCGTTTTAGTTTCCAAACTCCAGAAGGAGACATTCTTCCACTTTGCTTTCGTTTTCCACACGCGAAGCGCCCACATTTTTCTTTACAACGTGTGTGGGTGTGTGCCTCCCCCTTCGATTCTATTGGCTCTAACGGTCACAAGGGTATGTCAACCAACCAAATCGACCAAGGGGGGCCAGAGATAGGTCAAATCCACCCAAATGACCCCAGAAGTGGGGGTTTTTGGCTAAATCTCTCTAAAAAGGTCAAATTTCACTTGTTTTGCATCAATCTTGATACAGGGTACTTATTATATGTTGTACTTTGGATTCCTAAAGCTTTTAGTCTACTAACCCATCATCCAAGGGTAGTTTTCACTATCTGTAAAAAATAATTTTTGGACGGACACTATAATTTACAGTTTTTTACTATGTAAAATCTGAATTTTCTTTAAAATAAAAAACATTTATATTGATTCTGACACTTCTACATCCAACTCACAGGTTTATCATTACTTTGAGAACAAAGATTATTAATTTAACCCTTTTAGAAGGGAAGATATGGTCATTTGTTCTGGGAATGTCATTTTCGAGCCTGAGACCTGAAAAACAGGCTCAGAGTGGAACAGGTTAATAATCCATTTTTTGAGGAACTTTCAACTTTATTCTTATATTCCCATTTGTTGGAGGGATTTTTGTTTGAGGGATTTTGTATTTTTATATTCCCATTTGTTTAAGGGGTTTGTTTATTTTTATTCTACATAACTATGTGTTAAAGGTTCCAGAAAATGTTGAAGGGTTCTTTTGGGACAGACTACTGACATATGTGGGGACCCACTTTTACCATTAAAAACCTATCGCTTAAAATCAATCACTAACCAAGTTGGGAGTAACTCCTGTTTTACTTTCCAAATAGGCCCTTTTATCATTACTCAACATCTGGACGAGGGTAGATGTCTATTTAAATACTCCTCGTACTAAAGAGGGTTTTGGCATATCTGGGTCTCAATCTCCCTCAGGGGGCAGGTTTTGTATTCTAGGAAACCAAGGTACGATCGCATTGACCATTGGTAATATACGGTTTAAAGATACCAGAAGAATTTGAGCTAACAGCATAATTATGTACGGGCACTGGAGAATGGTAGCAGGCCTGGGCCTCCTACTTACCATTATGGTAACGATAATTTTCATTGTCTGTAAAACTAATGATGTTCTTTCTCCAACTCTCGCCCCAGAGGAAGAGATAGTAAGGACCAAAAGAGGGACTAGAGTAGTGAGCCTTATGTCTCCAAAAAGAACCTTCACTCTCCAAGAAGGTAGCGACGGAATAGTGGACATAGATTTGTGCGCAATCGCCCCATGTTCCAACTCTGACAAATCATACTCAGGTTTCGCTAAATATGTCTGCCTCACCCCAACAGTATGCAATACATTCACGGAAAGGTCCACAGGTACAAGTTATGCCTCTGATTCTCCCTTTAAGGGGACAAATTACGTATATATTACTCACACCCAAGGATGTAAATGCGAATCCTGGTCTTATGTACTAGTTAACTCTGGTCCGAAAGACTGGGGATATACGCCTAAATTCAAATCAGCAAGGATTGTTGCGTCACTAAAACATAGAATGAAAGTAATTAGAAAGAACCCTATCTCTCCCTGTGCTATAGGTAGATGCAACCCTGTCTCAATTATCCTAAGAGGGGTTGAGATCGGCGATGCAGGTCTATATATTTTGGCAGCACACGCAGGAAGAAAGTCACCCCAAGGTCTGTTCAAAATAGTTGTCACTCCGAAACCAGCAGTAACTCGCCCAACTACCGCCGTGATACAATATATTTCCAAAATCATCTGTGGAGATAAATGTACTAGCGAAGTTGGCGAACTTGAACCACTAGACATAATTCAAATGGCCACGGGTTTTACTGATGATAATCTATGGTTAAAATGGGTTGCTGGGACTGCTCACGAACAAATGGTAGGTGATTGTTTAGCTTGTGCGACCGCTCGTCCCCATTTGATAACTGACCCCGCTCCTCTCTTCCCTTCAGATATCTGGGGTTATAACTGCATGTTAAAACTTACCCAAATGGCTAGCCCATCAAACTGTACAACCTTAGCCAGCCTTTTCCCACCGATTGATAATGGCACAAAAACAGGACCCTTTACACCAAGAAAAGGCAGAGGGGGATACACTTGTTTCAAATTAACCAGTGCCTCCCCTAAATTTAATCTGGGTAATGTTTCCTCTGATTGGTGCAACAGTACTCTAGCAGGTAATATGGTAGGTCATTGGGCCAGGGGTGGGCTTTACTATTATTGTGGCGGCCGACGGTTGTATACCAGAATTCCGGAAGCATCAATAGGACTTTGTGCAATGACCCGCCTCCATGCCCCTTTGACATTACTACAGATGAAGCGTCTTATTTTGGACAGTTTAAAGTGCGAGGGTCGTGATCGGTTCGTGCACGTTCCGTGATGGCCGGCCGGCCCCCAGTCAGACTTGATACCGCCCCCATGATAAATACATTTAATTATTGTGAAGCCAGCTGCAATGGATCATTGATCCACCAGGGGGTGCAGTGGGGTTCCACACTGGAGTCATGTGAAATCAACTTCTAAATAATAGATGTTGTTTAGTCGGAAAAAACGAACGAGCCGGCTCTCCCGATTTTTAATCCTAATTTAATCATCATCATTGATGTTTATGTTCGCCGAATTGACATGAAATCACTGACAAATATGAATATTCTGTATTCAACTTCATTGAAACGATCAGGATGGGTGTTATTTTTCCCCACAATGACCAAGTCGCTGCAAATGATCCCATGTATTACATGTACATGGCCACATTCTCAACAAAGTTACGTAACGAAACATTCTGTATTCCTTGCTTACTTTTTATTTAATGCTTTATAACAGCTGGAATAGTTCGTTTAGAACAGGCACCTCACTCGCAATCTGCTCCTCCGCAACGCCTACCACCTACCTCCGGCTGAAATTATGAATGTACAGTAAGGCATAGTAATCATAGATAACACGGCAGGGTCCGTTACAGTTTGTTTTCATCTGATTTCAAATATTTCAAATGTCTGAAGTTAATAAATACATTCTCAGTGTTCAAGTCAATAATAGTCATATAAGAAAAGTACTGATCTAATAACAGAGATTTTATAAGGACTTTTCAATGTTCGACATCGCTCATGTGAAATACAGTAAACTGGATGTTGTGGTGCCGAGAGACGGGGTATCAAAAGTACAAGCTAAACTTTTATTTAGCATCTGAACACACTTGTAAACAACGTGATGCCCGGGAAGCGAAGACCCGGCGGAAACAGCTGGTCTGGTTCACTAAAATGTCCGTGTACAGTATATCTGGTACTAATGTATAGCGGATCTTTGTTAAGATCCATATGTCACGGATAGATATTATATATAGAGATGGGATGGCAGAAGGTGCTATATATATATATATAATTCCAAAGCTGGTAAAGACCTTTCAAATTTAGCAATAACAGTCATATAAGAAAAGTACTGATTTGTTCTTGAATCAACTTTTTTATGGAAAATGTTTTATGTAATTTTATTTCATTTTAAATCAAATGAAAGACATTCACAGTTAATGTAATTAGATATACATTATTAATGCCATACGTTTTTAAATGTAATTAGATATACATTATTAATGCCATACATTTTTGCATAAATATTTATTCAGTATGATCAGTGGCGGCGCCAGGGTATGGCTGGGGTAGGCTACAGCCATACCAAGAAATGGCTTAGCCCCACCTTAGCCCCACCATGAAAAATGATGTTAAAGTAAGCTAAATAAAGTCCGTCATCTCGCGCGGAGTAAATTGCACAGACAGCAGCTAGTAAGATTGATTTCAGTAGCCACTTGTCTGGAAATACCGAAGACTAGAAACGGTTTTGAAAACTTTTGTCACGTAGTGATCTTCTTCCCAATAAAACATCTTTGATAATGTCTTCT